AATACTTGATTTTCAGCATGTCATATTTTGCTGCTTGGTCATACTATCTGTATAAATTGGGCATCATACGAAAGTCCATTCCTCGGGCCACTCAACAAGAAAAAAGACATCGATGATGGCTATAGTACTGTTTATATACCCTGATCTAGGGACACGTGATTGTTATGTACACACGCACGTGTGAGTTTTGTTTACTTTAAACGTTGAATTTAGTCCAGATTCTAGTGACGTCACAAGAAACATGCAATCATAAATCCTCGAGCCCTCGGGCTATATATTCATATAATTCTTCTCATCCATCGCGCCCTTCGGGCGCTCGGATGAGAGTGGAATTATGCCCCTGGATTGTATGAAAAATTGCTTTTTATATGCCCACATTGAAATGTGGTTGTATATTGTTGTCGTCCCCGTCCATCTGCCTGGCGTCCAAAATTTCATGAAAATTGGACCAAGACTGTCTGGCAATAGTAATACCTACGTTATGGACCCCTAGATGTCACAATTTTTTTCTGATTTTGATAAAATTTAAAATATATGATTATTTCCTAAAGATATTGGTTCCTTTCGATATTGATGCAAGTTGGATCGTAACATCCTGGATTATGGCCCTGGATTGTATGAAAAATTGTTTTTTATATGTCCACATTGAAATGTAGTCGTATATTGTTGTCGCCCCCGTCCGTCCGTCGGCCTGGCATCCTCAAATGCTTGTGTACGCTCTAGATGCTAAAATTAATACCCGATTGACTTTGAATTTGTACACAGTGTTTAAGGTCATGCGACGAAGAGACCTATTGATTTTCAGCGATTTCCGATAATTTTCTGCCAGAGTTATGGCCCTTGATCACTTTGAAAAATCTTGTGGACACTCTAGAGGCTAAAGTTAATATCCAATTGACTATAGATTTATACAAAGTGTTTAAGGTCATGAGATGAAGATGCCTATTGATTTTCAACGATTTCCGATAATTACTGCCAGATTTATAACCCTGGATCACTTTGATATTAAATGTTTTGTATACTAAACGTTAGTATAGGTCAGAACTAGAAACCAAACAAATTCTAAAGAATTCTTATAATTACTTAATAAGTTGTTACTCGTAATCAGATTTTAGTGTGTTGTAAATGTTTTCATTACTGACAACCCATGAGGTTGGACAGGCCACCCTTCTCCTTGTCAAGTACAACCGTGGAATCTAAACCACGCCAGTGGACTCAATGACAGACCTTATGATATGCTACCCATTCGGCTACCCAACCCCCTATAAGAGAGTATAAGATTACATTTATTTAAAGAAAGAAATTAAAAAAAATAAACAAATGCAATTATATAAATTTCCTCGTACACAACAATACCATACACCACTAGTATTAATGAAAAATGTATATAATAATAATAATAACATCATCATTTTTTAAAGTGTATTAATACTGGAGAACGGTTTCTAATGTGCTGTTCAGGTTCTTATATTCACAGAATACATGTATTTACACAGATATCAGGTCTTGTGCCCATATACACTGTACAAAATTGAAAGATATATACCAACCAGTAAATAAAAGTACATATAAGAGAAAAACAAACAGTAATTACCTAAGTAAAATGGTTCTAGTAAAATGAATTAGAAATGAAATGGTCTAATGAAGATGGGCATATACGCCATACAGTGTGCTATAAAGCAAATTTTGCCTGGGCTCAGCACTGTGGCCTACGTTTATATCAAATTACAACTGCCAAGGGATCTTTTTACGTGCACACCAATGTATACACAGGACCTCGACTAGACTGCTGTCCTTGTGCCTTGTCAGCCCTCCGCCTGCACCACTGACAAGGGGAAACCGTCGGAAATGAATTAGAATAAAAAAGTAAAATAAAAACATATAGTAAGCATAAAGTGACAAAATATAATATGAAAATTTATTGACATGTACAGTACATTTAAGTAAAACATATTTAAAATATGTAATATTAAAAAAACGCTTACAAAAATACATGTATACAGGTGTAGGCCTACTCACATAATTTCATCAATATCATCATCACTATTAAAATCAATGTCACTGTCAGCATATGTTTGGCTGTCACTTTTATATTCGAACAATATACACAAAACCATACAAGAAAGTTTTCACTTGTAACAAGTACATCTATTACTGATCTATCTGTAAAAGTGTAATGCAGCTTGATTTACATTCACATTGAAAATTTTGTTTGGTGCTTGATCTCTAGTCACCCTAACCCTGTCATTTGTTCAATAGAGTTTAACAAGAGAGGTTTAAATTTCCACAGCTACAGTCAGGCAACCTGGGAGGAATGCGCCAGAATATGCCCCCTTTTTGACTGGTGATGCAGAGGCAGAAATAATTCTTCATACATATTTTTTTAAAAAAAAGTAAGTGCACTTGTACCAACTCATCTATTTCGGTTCTAATTTTCCCCATAACATGGGGGTTGGATGGCCGAATTGTTAGCACGTGCGCACTGTATCATAAAGCCTGTCATTGAGTCAACAGGCTTGGTTTCGAATCCCCGGTTGTACGTGACAAGAGTAGGGTCGCCTGTCCAACCTCGTGGGTTTTCTCTGGGTCCTCCCCTTTCCTCCCACTGTTAAAGACCCCTACGTGCAAGCGAATTATTGAAATAAAATAATTAAACCATATGTTAGTCCCAAAATGACCTAGTTTGTGTCGAGTGGACGTTAAATCCCATTTCTCTCTCTCCATAACAACTTGTTGGGTATGAGTACTGCACATTGTATTTCACCTCAATAATGCTGACACAGTCTTAACCATAGTGGTCTTCTGTCTTTGTCTGAGTGGACTTCTCTATTGGTCTGAGTGGTCTTGGGCGGAGTAGTCCTTGGTCTGGGTTGTCATGCATTTGGGAGAATATCTTCATCAGCTTGCATTTGCAAGAAATATGATCCGATCCCCTTAAACAAATTAACCAGACCTATTATCTTATTCTCTTTTTTTTTTTTTTGCTGCTTGTTTCTAAACATCACTTTCTTCAACAATTTAGGAATCGTGATAATGTTTCATACACAGTTTGGTAACGTGGAATGTGATAAGTAGGCCTTGTAGCCTCTACCATACCTCAGTCCAGTGAGAGTTTTGTCTGCACATTCCTGACTCAGACTGGAGTTCTGATTCAGCTTTGTCCAGCAAATCGGCATTTGTCTCCGGCTCATTTCCATCTAATTTGATCCACTGGTTAGCACATACCTTAAATTTTTCCCAGCTTGTCGCAGTGAACGGTTTTAGCTCAGTGTTTTAACAAAATGTACTCGAGCTATGCAGTTTTACTTTAGCTATCCTTCCGCCATGTACCGTTATAACAAAACGTAAACAAAGAGCAGGTGACCTTTCACCACATGACCTGTTGAACTTTTCTTCGTGTATGTTTGATTGGCCAATTATGTCACGTGATCTGTTTAAACCGAGTCACCGCGAAATTCAAATACCATTGCACATTGACAAGTAAGCCCATATTTAATTTACGTTTTCTATCAAACGTCAAAGAATTGATAAAAGAAAAGTTGTGTGACAATACAAAGTCATACTAGAAGAATTAGATGATGTAGGTTTTTTTTCACCCGAAAATGGTCGGGACGGAGAAACAGAAGCAAGCTAGCTAGAAATTTCACACCACGGCCTATAACTATGATAATACTTAAAATGTTAATATCCGATTGACTTTAAATTTATACACAGTGTTTAAGATCAATACATGAAAACACCTATTGATTTTCAACGGTTTCTGATGATTATGGCAATTGATGTTAAATCTTTTATATGCTTAATGTCAGAATAGGGCAGAACTAGAATCCAAATGGATTGTTACTTGTAATCAGATTTTAGTGTGTTGTAAATGTGTTTTAAATATGTTATATTCTGACAATAGAAAAAAATATGCGATTGACTTTGTTAATATCCGATTGACTTTAAATTTATACACAGTGTTTAAGATCAATACATGAAAACACCTATTGATTTTCAACGGTTTCTGATGATTATGGCAATTGATGTTAAATCTTTTATATGCTAAATGTCAGAATAGGGCAGAACTAGAATCCAAATGGATTGTTACTTGTAATCAGATTTTAGTGTGTTGTAAATGTGTTTTAAATATGTTATATTCTGACGATAGAAAAAAAATATTCGACAACCCTTGTTGACTCCCTGGATGACTCAGCTCCTATGGGTGTATGTTTCGTTGCCTGGCAACCTATCGTATATTTTTAACTTGTTCTTTGTCCGTCTCTTGCAAAAATTATTATAGCACCAACACCCCTATTACAATGCAAGATTTTTTTTATGGAGTTTTCTCTGTTCTGTCTGAAACCAGACAAATTCTCGCCCCAATAACATAATGTTACAATGTTACTACAAATCATGTATCTTCCAGAATGGTCTCAATTCATAAGATCTTGTTCTCGGATGTTTCCTTGAAAGCTTCTTTGGTGTGTTGACGGATAAGATAATGAAAATTAATATTTGTGTCTGTGATGATTATTGCAAACATAATGGGGTTATTATTAAAGATATTTGTTGTCCCAAGTTTCACAGTCACAGAAAAAGCCTGTTTACGCATGCAATTTAAACATCAAAATATAGAGAAATGATGTGTAATTTTACATTGGGTGACCTGATAAACTCGACTTTTCTGCAACTGTTTTTAAACTTTTAAGATAGAAGAGTTCCACAAAATTTGTCATCCAAGTTATTGATCTACAAAAAAAATATATGCGAGATGATTGTGCCGTGAGAAGATGGGTCCTATTGATTTCCATGTTGCCTATCCATCTCTTGCTTGATCTATTAGTAATACAAGATTTATATAAACGGTCTAGGTAGAATGCAAAAAGTATAACAAATATTTGTTAGCTATGTGAACTCCCCATGCACAACACCCTTTATAGGCCTACTCTCAGGGAAGATGAGTTAAAATATCCCAATTTGAGCATTATTTCTATAAAATCAATGTTTTGCATTTTCAGCTTTTGCATTGGTAATGATTTTACTCATCCGTTACTTTGCTTCAATCATTGTTTGGCTGATTCTAACAGTAGCTGTTATTGCCAGCATAGGTAAGATTATGTTGTATTAACTATGAAATAGTTTGTTTCAAACTTTTGCCAGTTGGACATTTGTACCCGTCAATATTTATGCAAACCTAACCCTACCACAAAAACTCATAGTATGTCTATCGCGATATAATTTAGTTACTGGTAATAATAAGTTGACAACATAAGTCAACAGCATGGCTTTAAGTTTATGGTTCTAAAGTATGTCACATACAATCGTTTCAAGGAGCTAAATATCTATGCTTTGGAACCGGAAACAGACGAAACTGGGTCAAAAAGCACGTATTTATGTATTATGGATGTATATGTATAAACTGATTTACATTCATCTTCATGCACACACAAGTAGCATGGGTATATGTATAACCGCTAGGTTCTTCAATAACTAATAAGTCTGGAATGGTTCTTCAATCTTTTAATTCCTGGAACTTATCTCTTACAAATGACAATAATTCAATACATACGATGTACACTTACAGCACAGTGGATGACCGAGGTAGCTGCTACTAAGTCAGGTGACCAAATGACTTCATTATTGATGTATATTAGCCTTTTTATATTCTAACTATAATTGGATAAGCTCAAGTGTTGACATCAAAACATATACTATACAGGATTATCACTAGAGACATTAACATAAATAAACAATAATGGATTAAATACTTAACTAATTAGCTTCTATCCTGATTTATATTAACCATGAGAAATTAAAACCTATCTAAAACTGACTGGTCATTATGCTTGGTCATATATGTACTATATGTAGTCGTCACAATGTCAGTCAGTCTGTTGGTCTGTCAACAGTTGGCAAAGGTCGCAATTTGTATCCGATTATCATGAAGCTTGAAATTTATGTTTATAACACAAAGATCTCGGTTCTTTTTGATAATCACACATATCACACTGCCCGTCAAAATGCCCGCTCTCCATACGCAAATAGTGTAAAGTATGTAATACCAAGGTTGTGGTCCCTCTAGAGGTCACAATTTTTATCCGATTTTGATGAAACTCAAAATATATGTTTATATCCCAAAGATCTGGGTTCCTTTGGTTACTTGCACGTTTCGGATCGTAACTTTCTGGATTATTGCCCCTGATTGTACGTAAAATCGCTTTTTTTTAGCTTGTTCTCTTTCCATCTCTTGCAAAATCTGGGCATATCTTGCATGACAATTGCTTTTTAATAGATTCATTTCAAATTTGGTGGGCAGCATTGTGGTAATGAGATGATTAACTCTAGCGATATTCAGCATTCTCCGACTTTCTGTTGTTATTATTACTACAGTAGTGTGCCCCTTTTATATATGAAATTAAATGAAATGGGGTTTAATGTCCTACTGTTCTGCTTCGACTGGGCTAATGAAGACTGGCATACACGGTACTGTTTGCTACGAGGGAAATTTTGTCTGGACAGCGGCGCTACAGCCTACTCTTATATATCAAATTCCAACTGCAAAGGGATCTTTTATGTGCACTCCAATGTATACACAGGACCTCGATTTTTCCGTTCCATCTGAACGTCTAGACAGCTGTCCTTGTTGATCTCCATACTGCACCACTGACAAGTGGAAACTACGCCAGAAAATCTTAATGAACTTTTTCGGTTAACACCGAGAGCCCCTGTTATATAACGTGTTCAGTGGCACTTTACAAAGTGACAATGTAATCATACCCCCCCCCCCCAAAAAAAAAGCAACAAGATTATGGACATATTAACAGTTGTATACAGAGTCAGATAAAGGCTTGTTTAAATAAATGTGTTTTAAGTTGTTTGTTTAAAAGAATATAGAGATTATTTCATAAAACAGGGGCTTTAAAGCTAAAAGAGCGTTGACCATAAAACACTAGTTAACCAGTTTTGGGCTTCAAAAGTAGTTTGACCAGGTGTATAAAATTCTAAAAGTTCTGTGAGGTAAACAGGGGCTTAATTATTTAAACATTTAAAAGTAAGTAATAAAATCTTAAAATCAGTTCAATATTTAACAGGTAACCAGTGTAAATTATACAAAACAGGAGTCGCATTTCTTAGTTAAAGTAACAAGTCTAGCTCCAGTATTCTTTACTTTTTGTAATTTATCAATTCAATAAGCTTTTAAGGTAAACCAACTAAAAGTGAATTAAAGTTATTAAAAAAAGCAGTTTACAAATATTAAAAATTGCGCCAACCCTTGAGTAACCCCAGATGACAAGCAGGGGACTATTAAAATGGGTTCGTCCATCCCTTCTGTCTGTCTGTCCGTCCGTCTGTCTGTCACACTTTTTGGTTCACAATACTGCTCCTTCTAATTGAGCTAGAATGTTCAAACCTGGATGTAGGTGTTTATTAGGTCAATGCCTTGATGGAGTTCAAAGATGAGCATTTTCTGCTTAGGGTAAGCAATTTGATTGGTTGATGATTTGGGACATGATAACTTTAGTTCTAATTAATTCACTAGGAAATCGGTACCGTTTAATCTAGCGTATATAGCGTTAATCTTTACTCTGTGTCTAATTATTCATAAATATTGTTGAATTTCGGCGAATATTGCTCAATTTGTACTTCTATCGAATTTCAATCTCACTGTTTAATTTTGATTTCCAGGCGTCTAATTAACTAGTGTTTAGTTTCTCGACACGTGTTGAATTATAATCGTCCCGTCTAATTAGCACCACTGTTCAATAATTAGTTGGACCGTCCCGAGACGTGATTAAAATCAGTCAAGGTGTCCAATTACGCAAGGTGTTCAATTTTGTTGTCAAACGTCTAATTCCATGTACGATGTTCAGATATTACGATGTGTTTAGTTGTGGGTCATCGTTCAGTTTTGCCGTCGAATGTCTATTTTGCCGCACGATGTTGAAATACTGTAATAAGTGTTAGTTTTAGTACTGACCTGTTGCGATACGGTAAAATATTATTTTTCAGGATTCATACGACGGCAGGTATCAGTAGAAACGTCGCGAAGGTTTGACGAAACACCATTATCATGTCTTTTTTTTTGGTGAAATTGCCACAATATATAACTCGGTGTAGTAGTCGCTATCGTGTGACACAATAGGCCTTGGTGTAATTTTACACTCAAAATTAACGGTATTTATTTGTCATAAACAATCGATGTCAAAACGATATACTGCCACGATGTTATGAATGTTGAATATTTTCGTTAATAATACGGACGCGTTAGTTCACAGTGAGAACACTCGCGTTCACATATTCTGCACGATATATATGTGGTTATATTTTCAACCAGTCATGTGTAGAACATTTAAAAGGACACGTATGCACAAGACTATACATGTATTACAAAGTTTAGATATTTATGCTGTGTTCAAATTGTTTTGCATATTTACTGTATTAAGAGTGTAGTTAAGAATTACTCTTGAATTACGGCAAAGATAGACTTTTAAATTGCAAACTATAAAGGTATTTTGGTTATCGGTCTTACAAATAGAAATAAGACATAGAAATAAGAAATAAGTCAGACGTAAGCTCGTACTTACCGTAAAAATGAACTGAACGCAACACAAGTCTCCGATGTAAGAGAATATTAGTTAATTATAACCGCTATCAAATCCACACAAAAATCCAAGGCACTCGTTTTATTTTAGAAAAGAATAACTGTATTTCAATCAAAGAGCCTATTCCACATGAACCCCAAATCAATGATGAACTGTCAACTTGTTATGTAGTCATTCACGTGCAGATTAGTTTGAATAACAGAAATGTCCTGTGTATAAAAGATCAAAGAATAAAACTGCACGTAGCCACTTTGTTTATATAAAAGGGTCTCCGGCGCACTTTAAGGAATTATTTTTGACTCAACATTAACCATTGCCAATTTTTTTAAATCATGGGATAAAGTCAATCAACAAACAATACGGGTCTACTTTATTACAAAAACATTGGTGAACTTATCATTTTGTCTAAAATCATAATGCTAATCAGCAATAATACTATTGTTCTTTATTACAAAGACATCAGTGAACTAATCTCTGCCGTGATGGCAAGCCAAGCTAGTTGATTATTAGGTAAATAAAACAATATAAACAACCAATGAGTAAAACTGATTTATTTCAATCAATTTATATACGAGTCAAGTATTACCTTAACTGACACCTGCTCAACTTGTAAATTCCAAATACAAACTGCTTACCGTATTCATGCCATAGACACTAATATCCTAATTTAAAAAGAACTTTCCGTTTCCAATAATTATCACAGACACGAATATTAATTTTGATTGTTTTATCCATCAACACACAGAGTAAACACATCTAACAACCAGATCGTATGAATTTGAGCCTCTTCAATAGTTTTAAGCACATCAAACAGTGTAGAATAAATTGCCTAACAGAAAAATCATGCTTTATAAGTTGTTAAAGGGACGTGGGGCTATTTAAGGAATGATGTTTGTGCACAATACAATGAAATAATTACCACCGGTGTGAGGAATTATTTTGACAGAATATGTCAACTGCAAATATGATGACTAAACATCAGTTTCTTCAGAAGACGCTCTACATGCACAAACTTTCAAGTCTGTACCGATTTTAAAAAATTAAACAATCCCACATATCTGCATTCCTAAAAACAGGAGTTTTACCGTAACACAGTAATCACAATTACTCGTTACAAATTTGTACTACATGTAACGAGTGGAATGGGGGTCCGGCCAAATCACGACGAATAACTTCTTAGTTAGTCATATTGTAAGTGTAACTGTGTTTTCTTTATTTTGACATTCTGCTAATTGAGAAACCATATGAGTAATAAATACAGGTTATTGAATGGACTGAAGCTACATGTCAAATCACAAATACATCGACATCTCTTTTCAAAATTTGTAATTATTACTGCTGACCAATTAACAATAAAAGTCATATTGTCAATACGACTACAGCAAGGTAACAGTTTGTTGTTAAAGGGGCGTCTACGTTCTGTCAATCGGTATCTTTTGAAGTTACTTGCCAATTCTCATTATGGAACTTTGATTGACAGTATGCATCCACCAGACTCTTTGGTA